GGAGGAGGAGGAGGAGGAGGAGGAGGAGGAAGAGGAAGAGGCAGGACTAAGAAGAAGCTTCTGCAGGAAAGCCGGCCACCCCGCAATGGAAGAGCAGGCGGCGAAGGACGAAATCTCAGCGCTTTGCAATTCAGTCCTTGGCCCGGACGAGAAAAAGGCTGCGTCTTTACCTCGGCCTCCTCGGGACTTTGGCAATCGCTGTGGGATGAAGACAGGGATCCTCCATTCAGCTGTGAGGGATGGAAAAGGGGGCACGTTTATCACTGGACACGGTGCTGAGGCTCCCGGGATGGGAGAGACACCCACTCAGCTGTGGAAAAGCACCCGGGGGGTTTGCGAAGGCGAAGCATCGCTCGGCCAAAAGAAGGAATCGGGAAAGGAGATACTCTTCGGACGGAGGAAGAGAGAGGAGAAACGGGCCAGGCTGCCTTCTTTTAGGGACCTGGTTTGGGCCTCATGCCAAGCCACGGTTTGTTGAACCATGAACAGGCTGGGTTGACACATCGCACTACAACATAAAGCAGAGTTTAAAGGCTAGGATTAGCCTTGTTTATTGCGCGAAGCCAAAGCCAGATACGCAACGCCATGCCTCGGTATCATGGGGTTGAGCTAGATGACCCCTGTGGTCCCTCACAACCCCCAAATGCTACGATTCTGTGACCTTAGCCAAATACCAGCAATGGCCAGAGATTTCCTAGTCAAACTTCCTAGTTCCATCCAGAGATGGAAAGCCACAGGATGCTTTAAGGAAAGCAGTGCTGGATCAGCTTCTCCCTGATCGCTCATGGCCCTCTGACCTCAGGATCCAGGCTGCGCAGATCGCTTGAAAGTCTTGGGCCGAAATCCCCAGGCCCGGAGGAGGGAGAGGAGGGTGCCAAATGGCCTTGCTGGCTGGGGAGGATGGCTGGACGAGGGTGGTCTCCTAAGTGCCCCCCGCAGGAAGGATGCCCCGCACTCCATCGGGTGTCTGCTGGAACAGGCAAGCGGGGCTCGGTGGCCACTTACCTGGGTTTGCGCGGACCCATTCGTCATAGGTTGAGGAACTCCCCCTGCAGAAAACGCAGAGACAACACCAGTGAGGAGCCTTTCTCGTGGAAACCCTGACCCTGTGCAGAGGGTCGGCCCCCTCTGTGTCAGACTGCCATTAATTCTGCCGCTTTGAATGGGAGGTGGCAGGTTCTGCAGAAGCAGAAAGGCTCTACGATGAATCTCAGCACGTAGCTAAGGAAGAGGTGACCGGTTCGTGCGGGGAGAGGCAACCACCAGGAAACCACTGGTCAGCTAGGCTGGGGATTAAAAACCAACCAAACCAACCGTCCCAGGAAAAGAAAGGCAAGGGAAAGCCACTGCTGCCTTGCTGCCCAGGCACAATGTGATTGTGTCCATACAGTCATCTGGTGTTGACCTCAACTTGGGGGAGGCTTTACTTTTACCACCGTGTAACGCAGAAAACCTCTCTCTCTCCCACCCCCACCTACACACACATATGCCAAAACAGCTGCAGGCAAGAAATTGGGGAACAAACTCAAGTAGGGTTCCGCCATTTGCCCTGATGCCCAAGGAGGTTCCTCTCCGGGGAAACCTTGGTTAGGACTACATTGGAAGAGGAAAGTGTGTGCATTTGTGCAGCTGTCAAGCACAGGTCCTTTGGTTTTTTTAACAGCCAAGAGCAGTTTGGAGGCACAAATTTTTAGGCTTCAAACTTCTGGGTCACCTGGAAGGACCAGGCACAGCGCTGCAATTGCCGCTGAAGCCAAGATTGGATAAGGACTGCCACTTACTGTAACCATGGATAAATACCATGACCCCTAATGTGACTGTGTGTGTTAGCTGTGCTGCTCTGTTGGATTCCACTCCTGGTGGCTTTGGGGACCCGTCTCTACTGAGGACGTGCAGATCTTCCAAGGACATCATCTTGCTAATCCAGTCCGCCTGCCTTACCAGGAAAAGGTTCTATTTGTAGTTTGTCCTTCCAGATATGTACAGCTGGGTATCAACCTCCATCAACCAAGTCAGGATGGGCAAAGGTCAGGGTCCTGGAGTCCAACAACTCCCCCAAACTACAGGGAGCTCAGATCCATCATATGGTGTCCTCCAACACTCTCATCTTCTCACTCCTCAGTTCCCATGGGAGGATCGGTGACCTGAATCCTCCCAAAGCCCAAACCACACCCCACAAAGCCCAACACCACACTGCACTGGCAGAAAATGGGTATGCTGCCAACACTGAATGTACATTGAGTGTCAAGGCAGCATCGGGCTACTACAGCCAGAAGCAACCTGCAGAGATGGTTGCAGAATCATCATCTAAAACCTTCTTAATCTTGCACGATGCTTTCCCTTCTCTCCCCTTTGCTGACAACTCCACCAAAGGCCTGGCCGGCTCCTTCACAGCCACTTTGCACCGAAGAAAGAAGGGACATATTTGAGCCTTGCCTGCAGCATTTGGAAAACAGGTCTGTGCATTAATGCTTGTTTTTGGCGCTCGGCCCGCTGCTCCTTGCAAAGAGAACAGGGAGTTCATTCTCCATGGGGCCAAGAAGAAAGTATATCTGGCTCCCGACTCTTGGTTGTTCCTGCGCTCGGCATCTGACACCCGCCGTCCCCTCCTCCCTCCTTCCCCCCCCCCACAAAAATTTCTGAATTGTTCCAAGTTGCTCTTTTGGAGTCCTTCTTTCCACTGCAAGCCAGAAAAAGGGAAGGCAGCTTCAATAGGAAACAGCTGTGCTAAAAACACAGAGCTCTCCATTCAGGCCGGCTAAGGATGGCCCGGGGGGCGGAGGGGGGGCAGGCTGGTGGCAGAATCATGTATGTTTGGTGGAAGGCATGATCTTCCCCAGGCAGGCAACAGGAGCAGGGAGCCTCCGTAGCAGCAGGAGTCCAGTCCTTGGTCTGTTTGAGACCAGGGTCTTGCAAGTCCAACCTTCTGAAGGACTACAGGACACCTGTTACAGGGCAGAAATGGCAGCAGGATGCCTCCCAAGGCCCCCCTCCCATTCCCACAGTTAAAACTGTCCCAGATGCCCCCCAGTTGACCATGCCCAAGAGTGCTGCCGTTTCCATCCTGTCAAAGATGCTTTGCTGAAAACCTGGTGTCATTCCCACCCACTGAAGGTACCTGGCGCTCTGCTTCTGCCCTCCCGCCAGCATCCAAAAGACTTGTGGCATTCTATATTTTATCCAACCAGTTTACATCAGCTTTTCTGCTCAAAAGTGGGAAGGGTCAGCATGTAATGCATTTAATTTACCTCCAAACTGTTTACAGCTCCCTCTTTGGTCACATTTATCAGTTGCAGTTCCAGAAACAATTTGGTCCTTTAGGTTATACCAGTGTTTTTCAAACTTGGCAACGTTAAGATGGGTAGCATGCTGGCTGAGGAATTCTGGGAGTTGAAGTCCACATATCTTAAAGTTGCCAAGTTTGAAAAAGACGGAGTTATATCCTGCCATTTCATTTCTCACTTCTCCAGGGCCTTGCCTTAAAAACAGATTTGGGGGTTGAGGTTAACTAGTGTTAATCTACAAGAGAGCAGAGATGCCAAGACCACAGCATTTCTTGCAAGCAGGATCTCCTGCTTTCCTGAGACTGGGTGGAATATCTCACCTCGAATGTGTTCCTCAGCAGGAGTGATGCCAAGTTTCTTGAAATATTCGTCTGTTCCAGGGTCCACTACCAACAACCTAGCTTCATTTTCCTTAGACTTGATATGGGCCACAACTTCTGAATGCTTCATGCCTTCTACATTGATCCCATTGACCTGTAGGGTAGCCAAACCAAGGAGGAAGAAGCTGGTGAGGAGTGCACATTAGGGGAACAGAGTGCTTTGCACTGGTGCGCTCAATCAGTACAAAACCAAAACAGTGCAGCCAAACCCGAGAAGATACAGCTTAGAGTGGAGAGAGTTTCCATCAGTCAAACTGGTGGGACTTCCTCCTCCCAAAAGCTATAATTCAATAGGCTCTCAAGGTGCTTCAGATCAATAATATGGATATAAAACCAACAAAAATCTGTAGTCAAGATCAACCCTGGGGGGTTTCTGTACTGTTCTCTCCACTCCATGCTTCAGAGATTTGAGGCCAAGGATTTTAATTCATTCTTGCCTAAATACAAAATTAGCTGAAGGGTTCTGCCTTCTCCACCTTCCAGATTAAAATGAAGATATCTCATGGTGACAGCCCTCATGGTGACCTTTAAATGTGCTGGACTCTTGCCAGGAGGACCAACGGCCAACCGTCTGGTGTCCTGAAGGTGTAGTCCAACACGTCTGAAGGGCTGCCACCAACGGGATTCCTAACCCTGCTTTCTCCTAGGGGATTCTGGGAATTGGAGTTCTCAGAGGGTGCAATTATGGAACACTAATAGACTATTATCTGCAACCCATCAAACTACAATTCCAAAGACCCTAGGGGGAAAGTCATAACACACACGTACACAGAGAATTCTAAGAAGGCAAAAAGTGGCAGGAACATCTGACCTACCAACTCGGGCAGGGGATCTGGGGACCACTGCAGGAATATTGGTGAGCCACCTGTGGCCCTGAAGCACCCATTGCCCATCCCAGAGCTAAGTCATGGGTTGAAGCCACAATTACATTGTTCACACAGCACGCTAATCTAAACCCAACCAGCCCATACAACCTTATCATGCAACACGAACTTCGTAGTATGGAACTTTATTTACAATTCCAATGGAGCGCTTGCCATATCTGCCCACACCGCCGTAGCAAGAGGCTGAATTTCAGAACTCCCCAAAAAAGCAGCTTCCGGCTTCAGCTTTCATAGCCAAAGAAAAAGTGTGTCTCTGTGTGAGTGCATGACACACACACGTGCTCATTCTTTTATGCAAGACTCAGGATGAGACCAGCTCTGCTGTGCTAAATGAGGATAAAGGCAAAATTTGCTCCGGGGGGCTACCCATTTGTTAGATAGGATAATGAAGTCCCTTTGTCCATGGGCAGGGGCCAACTAACACCTCAAAGTGGAAACCAATTAATAGGTTAATTAAGTGGTGCGCTGCTCTTTCCTTTTCTGCATGTGGGGAGGCATTTGGAGAGAAAATGTAAGGTTCCAGGAGGGCTAAACTACATGGGAAGTCAGTCATGCATGTTTGATCTGGGCAAATTTATTCTGGAGACCTGAAGGCTGTGAAGTTACAAATTTGGAAGGGACTCCTGATCTGGATCTGAATCAGGGCCCAATGTAACTTCCTGCCAGAAGTGCTGCTTGTCTGGCTATTCTTTTCTGCCACTCTGAAGGTGCTGTTTGCTGCAAACAACGAGCCAGATCTTATTTATTTATTTGCTTATTATTTCCTGCAAATAACAATCCGGTTTTGGATTGTTCAGAGAGAGAAACCAGATGCACACCTCTGCTGCGGAGAGCCAGGGAGGCGGCCCTGAAGCCAATATCCAGAACGAAGAGGATGGAAGCACTGCCGAGGCCCTGGGAAGGCAGAGTATTAAGAGGAGACCCAGGCTGACCCCCCTGGGGTGTACGAGGGAGGGGAGGAGAAGCACAATCAGACCGGCAAGACTCTGACATTACAGCCAATCTCAACACAGGACAGTTCTGGTCACCCTGTGGTGTGTGTGGTTCCCCGTCTGGTCTACCTCGCAGGGCTGATATCTGTATTAGCACATGATGCCCCTTATCAAAAACAATATCATACAAATGCAAACAATGTATAATATGTAAAAAATATGCCGTGAGGAGAGAGGAAGAGAGGAGAGAAGGTCTGTCAAATGAAGCACTACCGCCACTGCTCCTCCTCAACGCCAGGGCGAGGCTGCACCTGTTGAATGCCCACCATCTCCTCTTTTGGAGGAGGTGGGAGCGTGGGCCCTGGAGCTACGAATACCCACAAGGTTCATTACTTGGTTTGAGCAGGGGACTCGAGCGAGACGCCATCCTTCTGGCCACCCCCCAAATCAGCCTCCATTTCCAGCCCACCGTTGATGGCTCCCTCCCTCCCCTTTAAGGAGCCAGTGGGGAGGGGAGGCCAGAGCCCCAGCAGGTGCCCACCAGAGCTCTCTGGGTGCTCGTAGCCCCGGAGACGCTCAGAGCCCTTCTCATCTCCCGGCATCCCCGCCTGCAGTGTTTAAACAGGTGGCCCGGCAGGGCTGTCGGGGGCTGAGCGGGGGCACAAAGGGGCAGAGAAAACAAATAGAATGAGCCGCCCACCCCCTCCCCAGACACGCAAAGGCGGAGCAGGGCCCCGGCACGCCAGCAAAATGCTCCCGGCCGGAGCAGCGGCCCATCAAACATTCATGCGAGTCCCGAAGAGCGAGGCACCTGGATCAGGTGGCCAACTCCACAGGTCACTGAGTCTCCCTTTATGCACTCTGGGAAATGTGCCAGGGGTGCTAAATTAATTATCTGGGGGCCTCTCGGTAATGTAGTGAGAGGCAGGAGAGAAGCCTTCCCTTCTCCTTCTCCTTCTCCTTCTCCTTCATCTCCTCCACCACCCCTCTCCACCTTCTCCTTCTCCACCACCACCATTCCTTCTCCTTCTCCTCCTTCTCCTTCTCCTTCATCTCCTCCACCACCCCTCTCCACCTTCTCCTTCTCCACCACCACCATTCCTTCTCCTTCTCCTTCTCCTTCTCCTTCTCCTTTTTCTCCTTCTCCTTCTCCTTCATCTCCTCCACCACCCCTCTCCCCCTTCTCCTTCTCCACCACCACCATTCCTTCTCCTTCTCCTTCTCCTTCTCCTTCTCTCAGAAGTACATGCATAAACGCAGCAATCATGAAACTTTCATGAAACTTTCAGACCCGGCCATTTCCGGGATGCCCCACAAGTGCTGCCACAGAGAAGGGGGGCAGCAGCCCACAGCCTCTTCTTCTGCTTCAGCTCCTGATCGGTCCTCTCTCCCTGAGATGGAGATGAAGGGCCTGCAGTTCTCGATCTACCCAGTTGACCCACGTGTAAAGGAAAGGCGGTGGGGCAGCTCATGACTGGTTCAAGGGAAGCCCCCAGTGGCACCTCTAAGCCAACCATGATGGGGAGTAAAGCAATTACTCAGGCCGATAGATTTTGGGTGCTCATCCAAGGCAGCCCTTCGTTCTCCCCTGGGCTGTCTGTGGGCCTCATCTGGGTTCCACACCAGCAACTGGGCTGAGGGCAACTAAATTCTCTCTGCAGACACACAGATGTCATGCACAGAAGATCCTAGACATGTTAGGAAGCACTTGCTGCAACTTCTCCACCAAGGTCTGCCTCACTGGATTCTCCAGATCTTTTGGATTCAAGCCCCTGCAACCCCTCGCCCCTGCCCTGGCTGGCCGGAGGGGCCTCTGCTGCCCACCCTCCGAGTGCAGTTACCTGTAATGATCCAACAGGCAAGGCGGAAACGTCCCAAGAACTTCAGGGCAGCTGAGCCCCTCCTCTCAAGGCAACCTCTGGAGGCGACACTGGAATCGCCCTACCCTATTTGGGGCAGCACAACCGCAAGCAGTGAAGTGACTTAATAAGGATGGTGTAAGATGACTGGGGGGAAGTCAAGGTGGGGATAAAATGGGCTAAACCTGTAAAGCCAAAGCTTTCACTTGACACCAACTGTGGTTTTCAAAAGCTTCAGCTTCCTTCGCCTCTCCATGTGTCGAGGACGATGTTGCACAAACACTTTTAGAGTTAGCAAAAACCTCAGAAACATGTCTTGAAAACCTTGGCGTGATATCGGGTGCATTCACCATAAAAGCGACAGGATCATTCTCCTGCTTCCCAGCCCTCGTTACCTCAACAAGTTTGTCTTGTGGTCGGAGACCCGCCTTGGACGCTGGTGAATCCGGATCCACCGACCGGATGAACTGCCCAGGCCTGGACTTCTCACTGTGCAGGTTGAACCCGTAGCCATTGGGGCCTTTCTTGAGGTGGCAAAGTCGGGGCCCCAAAGGCTCCTTGGCTTGTCCATTCACATCCTGGATTTAAACAAATAAAATAAAAAAGGCATTGTTTTTTCCTTCTTCAGTAACAATAAGAAGAGGAACATCAAGGAAGCTGCTTGCTCCAAGTAAGACCTGCCAGCCCATCCCAAGGACCAGTGAGGACAGAGTATAAATAGACTCAATTGGAGGAAACGTATTTGATAAAATCAATTGTCCAATCCCATTCCAACAGAATGCATTGAAGGTGCTTACCAAATGACAAAAGGATAAAATTAGATATGCCTGATCAGCTCTCTTTCTCATCCATTTTAAGGACGCCAACAACGAATCATCCCTGCGCCTTACATAGGACTCTCTG